CGATTCTTGTTTTTCCTCTATTCCTTTAGCATTCAACGGTTCGATGCACATCATCTTCGAAATTGAATAATGATCGATGATTCAACATAACTATCTTGTAGAATAACTTCCTATTTCATAACGATTCGATCTTAATCATTAGAATCGGGACGAAAAATGTAAATAATTCCTTGTGCTCATCATCATTATACAATCCACATGCCACATTATGTCACACATCATATGACCCCAAAGAGACATCTTATTGATTTGGTGAAATAATTATACAGAATATTAGCTGAATGCTTCCACATCTTGTGAGGAGGCGCGGGAACAAAATCTTCGGGATGATACTATACAGAATATTAGATGAACCGACGAAACATGGGAGGTTCGGTTGGTCATCATCAAACGTTCCCTCATCTTTTCCAATAACTAATAACACCAACAGCAATAAGTCCACATTTTACTTCTTTACGTGTATTAACTTGGATGGATGATTTTTCAAAAAAAAATATTTTTTTTGGTTTTTTTTTTATATTTTGCAAGAGGTAGCCTTTTCAAAATTTCCAAAGGTGTTCCTATCTTTTCATAATCATCAAAGTACTTCTGATATGGCTTAGCACAGTTTCTTCATCCCAACGCTATTAGTTACAATATTTTTGAATAGGCTTATAGTGTTTTTGTCACCTCAAATCAATTAAACATTATAAATATATTAAAAAATAATTTAAAACTAACAGAAACCAATTTATATTAAAAAATAAAGTTTCAAATAATTACCTTTATTAGTTTAGGAATAAGAATAACTAACTTATAGTATTTTTGACCCCTTTATCAAAATATTGTAAGTCTATTAAAAAAATATTATAAGTAAAACTATTAAACTCAAAACCTAATAGAAACCAACTCATATAAAATAATAATATTTTAAATATTCTTATTGATTTAGAAATAAGAACAAATAAATAGGAAGGCTTCTTGTATGTGAATCCCAATGTTATGAAAATCTTTATAAGTCCTATAATTATTAGGGAAAAATATCATTGTTGATGTGGTCTAGAATTATACGCATAGGATTATTTGAGGTGTCTCCTGGGCGAGAATATTGAGCTATTTGAGTGTCATCTGTATGAAGACTAAGGTCAAGAGAAATTACTAGAGACGAGAATAGTCAAAAGAAGTATCATCTTTCTCTATATTAAAAATGAGCTTTTATACTTGATCATAAGGTACGAATAAAGTTTACAATTATTTTTTTCACCATAAATGATGAGAAGGAAGCTTGCAACTAGGAAAATGATAAGAAAATATTTTTGACTAATCACATGTCTAGCACCAAAAGAGGAAAAGAAGGCTAAGCTTCTTTCTCACCATTTATGACGAGAAAGATAATTGTAAGATTTCTTCTTGTTATTGTTATTTATGATGAGAAAGATAATTACAAGCTTTCTTCTTACCATTCATGATGAGAAAAAGAATCGCAAGCTTCCATTACACTATTTACGATCATATATAAAAATTCATAATTCATCTTTAACATAAAGAAAAAGATGATTTCTTTTGACTATTCTCATCCACATTTACGAGCTATCAGATTGGGCTGAGAAACATCTCTCAATCTTGGTTTTCGTGTAAGTGGCAATCAACTATATTTTTTTCTAATAATAATAAAAAAAATTAAATTGATCCATCGGATTGATCCAAATTGGTGTCTTATGAAAAATACGAGGATATTCTATAAAAAAAAAAGAAAGAAAAGGACACCTACAATAAACAGTGAAAAATGAGGACAAAAGGGATTGCATAAAGCTAAGTAATACTGCTGGCCCACAAGTCTTCGGTAACCCCGACCAAATCATATGTTGGATGTCTAATTCTAGTCTCGTCTTCGTTGGCCGTTCCTATTAATTTAGCTTGGAAACTTGAAACAAGAGGGAGGCTTTCGCCCACGAAGGTCGCGACTACCCTTTTGCCCCTCGCGTGCCCGTTGCGGGCCCGACCGCTACGGTAGGTATTAAGACCCACACATGGTTTTCAATCGTGGTGGGCCCCCGTCCTGAGAACCAAAACCCACAACAATTTTGTTTACCCCATTATATTTCAATCTTATTATTATCATCATATTTAAGCTTCGGGAAAAACAGATGTAAAAACAATGTTAGATGGGAGGGATCTCATTGCGCTTGTTGTTTGCGAGAGGACTGAGAAGACAGGAGGGAATGAATGCAACAGCAACATCGATAAGACGTTAAGCTTTTGGATCACCAGATACTCCATCTGTGTTTGTTTGGGCCACAACAATCGAAAGGGGATGACTTTTCAACGAGTAGGTGCGACCTTTGAATGAAATGAGATATAACGTAGATTCTTATAACCAAAGGAGGCCATGCAATAATTGTATCTCTGGAAGAGAGTTGCTATGATGGCATTAGTCATGCTAGAGTTTAGGATGCTATTATTTATTTACACGGTTCTTGCAAAACCCTAAGGAAGATATTTCGTTTAATGAGGGTCCAGAACTAGAAGGGCTCGAGGTTAACTCGCCTTACGATTCGAGTTAGATCGGACAAGTGCATGCGAAAGGGAGAGAAGACTTTATTAACTTCAAAAGAAAAAAAAAAACAAAGATCTAAATCAATAACATACCAAAAACTATATGTGGTTCTCATAAATTTAATAAGATGTAATAAAATGAGATCAATTATAAAACCCTTTAGTTTTCTTCATTCGAATATAAATTTTTCTGTACATTCTCTCAAGAAAATCTTGAAAAATTTACGTATTTTTTTATTATTTTTAGACATCATACGGAGAAACTTAGGATAAAAGAATCAAACCCTAATTATGTGAACTTTTTTTTCCACGAGGCTCTTTCTTATATCAAGACTTTTTTTCTCATAAAATATTGATTTTAGGAATCTTAAATACTTATCGATCCTAATATATATACATACGAGCTTGTTATTTAAAAATATATATTAGAAAATTAAATGATAAAAATGAGATCAATTATAAAACACTTTAGTTTTCTTCACTCGAACATAAATTTTTCTGCACATTCTCTCAAGCAAATCTTGAAAATTTTATATATTTTTTATTATTTTTAGACACCACATAGAAAAAAACTCAGGATAAAAGAATCAAATCCTAATTATCTGTACTTTTATTATTTCCACAAGACATTTTCTTATATCAAGACTTTCTATCCTCATAAAATATTAATTTTAGGAATCTTAAATACTTATCGATCTTAATATATATACATACGAGCTTGTTATTTAAAAATATATATTAGAAAATTAAATGAAAAAAAGGCATTATGTGAGAAAGGCTTAAAACTGAGAAGTCTTGTTCGGACCTTTCATTTCTAACAGTTACGTAAGAGAGAGAGAGAGAGAGAGAGAGAGAGAGAGAGAGAGAGA